TATTTTCACTGTTTTTTAAAACATTTTCAGCATATTTTCTCTGTTAGATCAGCAGCGAACGCTGAGCAGAGGAACATCTGTCAGCATCTGTGACGCATTCGCCTCCAGCAAAGAGCAAACACACAACCAGCCTCCACACAAACTACACAAACGCACAGCAGAAGTTATATCACAGAAATAAGTCATTAAGGAGGAACAGAATCAGATTAAAGTGCAAAACGTCGTGCAGCCAGACGAGCTGGAACTAAAGCAGCAGATTAAAAACAGAGACCTACCTGACGGTTTAAATCATTGGATGAACACCTCGGCTCTCCGTCACCTTCTGAGAGTAACTCAGACTGAAAAAACTGTTTCTCAGCTCGTCTGATTTCCTGTTATTGGCTGAGCGAGTGTGAACCTAAACCTCTATGCTAGTGAGGACCGGGCCGGTGTTGAGACGCGTGTCGGCAGTCTGAGGTTCAGCTTTGGTTTGATGGTTGCAGCTAGAATCAGGTTCAGGTCGGAGGACGGCGGGTCAGAGAACATCAGCGACGGTCCTCACAAACACAGCAAAGAGCCGAGTGTTTGCCAAGTGAAATCTTCACCTGACTTCAAACACAACAGGATGTGGTTTGACGAACACCCGTCTCGTTCTGCTTCAGTCTGTCTCTGACACACACGCCCTCATTAACATCAGGTTTCCTCTCATGACATTATCATTTTCATGTCTGAACATAAGGATTTGACTCAGCTGTGACTCTGCGATTTTCTTCACCTCAAACTCAAAATTTGTCCAAAATTGTGGAAACTACCTGAAAATGCTCAAAATGAGCCCAAAACGATTTGAAGTTTGTCCAAAATGTCAAAAACTTTCCTAATTACTTAAGATTTGACCCAAAGATGCAAAATTTGCCCAAAATAATTCAAACTTTTCCAAAACTGGAGACTAGTCCAAAATGATAATCTGGTCTGAAATGGCTGAAAATATTANTGCAGTCAGCTTCAACTTTAGCCCAAAGTATAGAGAGACAATTGGTGTTTTGTTGATCCATCGATCCACCCCAGCTCCTTCCAACTTCATGACACCACTTGATGTCCTCCTTTACTTCCGTTATAATTAATACAGATGTTTTTTTGGCGTCTTGCTGCCAGTTTTCCACTATTTTTTACAGTGTGGCAGATCTCCATTGATCTAACAGAACATAAACACTCGTCCTTTCCTCACTTTTTCCTTTTCTTTCCCTTCTTGTCCCCCACATCTCCTCCATGACACCAACTTCACCTCCTTTGTTTCTCCTTCACATTCCTCCCTGCGTCTCCTCCTTTTTCAATCTTCTGTTTTTCTACTTTCCCCTTTTCTTGTCCCCCAGATCCCGACTCTTCCCTTTTCTCCTCATGTTTCCTCCTCTTTAAACCTCCTCCCCCCCGTTTTCATCTGTCTCTCCCCCATCATTCGATTCCTCCTCCTCCTCGGTTTCCTGTCCCACTTGGCTTTAAGTCAGCAGCTCGATCCCCCTCTAAAGAAAATCATCTGAAAAACTGACTCCGCTTTCACTTGTTTCAGCAGTTTCACGCTGATCTGTTGAAGCGAGGCTGCAGAGACCGATCGGTGAAAGTGAACGAAAAGAGTCGATCCAGCTGCAGAGAGTTCATTTGTCATAGAAACTTAAAGACTTTTTCCAGTTTCTGTGTTGTTAGTCTTCTCACACACACACACACACACACACACACACACACACACACACACACACACACACACAGGCCTATTATGGTAGTTGGTTCAGATTCCAAGTGAGCGTGACATCATGTAGCCTCAATCAAAACCAGACTGCAGAGAAAAACCTCAAACGCAGCGAGCAGCGAGGGCTTACGTTACAGGACAACACACTCGCCTATCATCCGTCCTCGCCATCGGGACGCAGGAATTCTGGGATTGTTGCCTCACACTGCTAGAAAACTGGAAGAAGACAGATGAAACCACAGCGAAGGTGTTGACGGACGCCGTCTTCCTGCGTTGAAGCGACTCGCAGCTGCATCCAGACACGAGGAGAGCTGATAAACGAGATGTATGAGGTCGCTTTCTAAAAACAATAGTGACGACATAAGTCTGTCCGTTACAGCGTCTTTTAGTTTAAGTCTTCTCGGATGCACTGAGCTTCTAGTTTTAAACTTTATTTAAAAAGTTGGTTGACGTTCAGGCTCCAGATGTGAAGCAGGAGAATGAATCCATAAGATCTGACATGAGAAACTAAAACTTTGTCCAAAATGACTCAAGATTTCTCCAAAATAGGTCAAGAGTTGTCTGACGCAACTCAAAACTTGTCCGAAATACTAACAAGCTGTCCAAACTGACTTAACACTTCTAGAAAATAACTCAAAATGACTTTAACTTTGGTCTGAAATTATTTAAAATTTGGCCAAAATTACTCAAAGATGGTCGATAATGACTCAAAATTTGCCCAAAAAGTCTCAAAAGACGTCTAGAATTACTCAATATGACTCAAAATCTGAACAAAATCACCTGAAACTTGTTCAAACTGACTAAAAGTTGTCCAGAATGGTTCAACATGTGTCCAGATTGACCACAGCTTGGCTNCCATAACTCGACTCTGGTGGGACTCGAACCCACAACCTTTGAATCACTCCTCCAGTGGTTGACCAGAAGTCCAACGCACTACTGACGACTGAACCATCCACGCTGCAGTCTGAGCGCTGCAGAGAGGGGGCGCTATGACAAGAAACAACCACAGGAATCTGACTAACGAAGCTCAGCATCTGACTGTTGTCTGTTTTCACAGTTTCAGGCTGATTAATGGCGTCATTTTGGTCATTTTGACGGATTCCAGCGTCTGTTTTAAACCTGAGTTTATCTCCCAATGCTTTAGCCGCTGATAACCGGCTTCTCTTACGTAACGCCGACCGTCTGGCCGAATGTTTCTCGAACTTCTCGGTTCCTGCTTCAGTTTCTCTCCCAGAAGGTCAAGCTGCCATGTTGACTCTGAGCCTGGAGTTACTGTTTAAACATCTGGTTTAAAGTTTCATCACCGCTTCCTCGTCGCTCTCCGACTCTTATCTCCAAAATTACCAGCTGTGGCTGCGCACGCATTTTTTAAATAGTTGACAGGAGGCTCGTCGAAGGAAAGTTAAACCTGCAGTTCAGAAGAGCAGTTTTCTGCATTATGAGCAGTGACTGTCGGGCTGCTAATTAACACGTCTGGACAAATTAAGCAGAACAGACAGAAAGGGAAACTGTCCGGTTGCGTTTCCCGCCAAAGCCAACAGATTGAATAACAGAAGATGGAACTTCATTGGTGCGTTTTACCAGCAGCGGTTGGTAAAGTTGGGTCACTGTTACAGGAAGGAAGCATCCGAGGAGCTTCAGAGGAAAGATCAAAGTGTGAAAAAGTGTTTGCATCGTGGACTTCTTTCTGTATAAATCATCCAAAACTCAAAACCTTCCAAAGAGTTTAAAAGGTGTTTTGAAGAAATCTCCAGAATGAGTTTCACCAGAGTCGACTCCTGATGTTCTACCAGCTCGACCTCCAGCAAGATGTTTAACTATCAAGGACATGTTTTCACTAAAAAATAAAAAATAAAAAATCTTCAAAACTTCATAAATTATCAGCATAAACTGGAAAAACTGAAAGAAATGGTCAGATTATCAACTTTCCCACAGTCCTTGAACACACCATGTTTACAGCTCTGTCGGGACAATGAACCAAATCTGAGCTGAAATTTGTGATATTTCATTAAAACCTCTTTATTCCACAAGTCTCCGTTAAAAAGTCTCNCACACACACACACACACACACACACACACACACACACACACACACACCTGGCCGACTCCTGCTGCACCTGGACCAATGATGGATGAAACACACACAATCAAACAATAAAGGTTTTTCCCCCATTCAGAAGTCCATTTAAAAAACGTCCATTTTAACACAGTGCAGCCGGAGCACCGACAGCCCTCCAAACCGCTCCTGATTTCATTGTTTATCAATCTTGGTGGTTTCTAAACATCATATGTTGTAGTTTCTGTGGACAAACGCGCCCTAGATCTGTTGTCTGGTGCAGCAGCAGCAGCAGCAGCAGCAGCAGCAGGAGGAGCGAGGAGGCCGGCTGCAGGTAAAGCGGCCCAGAGGCTTCACACCTGGACGGTAAATCAGTCGACTCCTCCCACACAGATGTTGGTGCGCCGCGGCCTCTCTGCTGGATGCTCTGTTTATCTGACCTCTATATTAAACCACAGCTGCACCGTGATTGGCTGATTCAAACGAGCACTGACATTTGCTCGTAACACTTTGGTTTCCGTTTTGTCTTCGGTTCAACTAAACTCGCCGTCTTTCTGACTCGTTCCTTCATCAGTCCACAGGTTCTGGATGGTTCCGGTCAGGACTTTGGGGAGACCGGTCCAGAACCTTCATTCCAGCCTGATGGAACCATTTCTTCACCACTCTGATGTGTGTTTGGGCTCATTGTCTGGTTGAACTGTGAGTTAAGAGGCCATGAAACTAGGACCGGACCCGAACCACCACCCGCCTGTACCCGGATATACGTCGTTAATTGGGCCTGAATATCTGGATGATGAACAGAACTTTCTCCATCACCAGCACCAATCATTCAAGTTTCTGAACTAGCACGTTTTTCTCATGTTTCCAGGAAACCTTTAATAAACCTATAAAAGAACCAAAAACTGTTTTTTGTCACAAAGATTTCAACGAAAATTCAGAACCATCGGAGTGACTGGAAACTCAGGACTGTCCCGTTATGAACGGTCTTTCAAAGTGGACGGAACCTTTTGTTGGTGTATGTTTTCTGCTTGTTGGGTCACGGTTCTGGTCCGTGACACCTGCTCACTGCAGTTCACTGAGAGGCCACTAGTGTCACTAACCTTTAACCTTTAGGTCATTTCTAAGCAAACATTTCTCATCTCCTCCATGTAACGACCCTTAAAGTCTCCTCGTAAGCTGAATATTAGACACTAATGTTTACGGACCGGATCAGAACCTTCTTACCTCCACGATGCTCTTCAGGTCCCTGACGTAGGCTTGTTCCGTCTCTACGATCTCCAGAGCGACTCGTTCCAGCCGTGAAAGCTGCTTCGGCGTCGCCACCACCGCCGCCGCCTGGTTGGGGGCGTGGCCTCCTCCCATCACCTTGACAACCCCTCCTCCTCCAGGAGCTCCTCCTCCTCCTCCTGCGACGAGCGGCGTGAGGTCCAGGCTGATGTCGGACCCGTTCCGTTTGGGCGTGGAGGAGGACGAGGAGGCGTTGTAGGTCGGCACGGCGCCGTACGGCAGCGAGGACGAGGACGAGGACGAGGAGGACGAGGAGGAGTGGGAGGCGTCCTGCAGCGACACCGAGGAGGCCGACGACGACAGCGACAGGGAGGCCGGGCGCTCTCCGTCCGAGCACACGGTGTTGACAGAGGTGCAGGAGGACGACGACGCTCCTCGGTCGCCGGACGACATCATCCTTCCCACAATCCCACTGAGAGACGAGACCGAGGACGGACGCTTGGCAGCTGCAGACAGACAGACGGACGTTCAGTCAGTGACACAGGAAGACAGACAGAACCGACAGAACCAGACAGAAACAGACAGAAATAGACAGAACAGACAGAAACAGACAGAACCAGACAGAAATAGACAGAAACAGACAGAACAGACAGAACAGACAGAAACAGACAGAACAGACAGAACCGACAGAACCAGAGAGAACAGACAGAAACAGACAGAACCGACAGAAAAAGAGAAACAGACAGAACAGACAGAACCAGACAGGAGCAGGACACATCAGAAACGTTTTAGTTATGATTTTACACCTGTACCAACCATTTTAGACATTTTATCAAGATTTTTTGTTGATTTTTTAAAAATTATTATTATTTTGGGCCATTTTTTTTTTTAAATTATCACTGTCAAACATTTCAATTATATTTTATTATTTAGCAATATTTCTTGTAATATTTAATATTCTTAATTTAGTAATATTTTTTTACATTTATAAAAAATTACATTGATGTTTAAATGTTATTTTCAAACATACTAACATTCTTTTAGTATTTTTAAAAAAATGTTTTTGGACATTTGATTGTTCTTTGTTTTAATTTTCAGACATTTTATTGATATTTTTGGACCATTTAATAATATTTTCTTACATTTTATTAACATCTTATAAATAATTCATATTTTGGGACAAGATGATAATATTTCTGGTCATTTTAATGATATTTTGATATATTTCGACTTGTGATCTGAACACATTTATCAGTTTTCGGGCATTCATGTGTTTATTTTGGACATTTTAATAATATTTCTGAATCACGTTGTTCATATTTTTTGCAGTGCATGAATCACTTTTGGAGGTTTTTCTCACGTTCCTTCACTGTTTCTCTGCAGCATGAAGTCCTGCAGCTCTGTGGAACCAGAACCACATGAAGACGGAGCGAGAACTCAGATCACAATCACAAACTAAACCAGGAAGTGTTCGTCCTATCAGCCTGGACCAGACTCAGATCTTCCTCTTTTGGTCCGTTCTCTCAGACCGACCACACCTCTGCAGCATCGCGGCCTATTTATCCTCCAGACGTCCCTGCAGGAGTCGTTTCCTTTCTGGGCTGAACCAGAAGCTTCTCCCTGTTGGCTGCTGTCACAGCTTCACAGCAGATTGTTCAGCAGCAGCTTGAACAGCTGCAGCAGCCGTGTGAAGCTGTTAACCTTCATGCGTGTGGTTTAACGTGTTCGGCTTAGAAAAACATCCCTAAAGAACCTGTTGACTCCTAATAGAGTCCAGACTGAAGAAGGAAAACACAGAATGCACTGAAGCTTAAACAGAAACCCGTCCAGGGAGCCAGTGGTGGTTGAGTTCGGTGTAACTTCAGTTGTTTATGTGTCAGTTTGTGTCTCTCTTTTGTCTTTTTTGTCTTGTTTGTGTCATTGCTCTCATTGTTTTTGTCAGTTCGTGCCTTGTTTGACTAATTTTGAGCCTCTTGTTTGTCTTGTTTTATGTCGTTTTAGTCATTTTGTGTCTCGTTTGTGTCTCTTTCTGAAAGTTTTCTCTCATTTTCTGTTGTGTTGAGTCATTTTTGTGTCATTCTGGAACCAGATCCAGTGTTCAGACTGTGACACCTGGATGGATGTAGAACTGATCTGGTGTCAGGTTCTAGCAGAACCCAGATGTGTTCTTCCTCCTAAATGTCATGTGTCTATCTGCTGTACTGATGAAGTTCTGAGGCTCAGAAATGATGGAAAAAGTCCATTAAAGTGATCAATCTGGACCCTCCTCTGTGGACTTGAAGGACCTGGACCTCTGGAACATTCACAGTCTGAAGCTAGAACTCTGGTCAGCAGCTAAAGGTACTGTAGATATAGAACCAGATGTTCTGAGGAAGTTCTGAGGAGGTTCTGAGGATCAAACTGTCGAAGCTTCAACCGAACAAAGTGATGATTAAAAAGCAGAAGTTTGATAAAAAACCAAACATGAGGTGGAGAAAAGTTTCGTGTCTGAAGTTACAGAATCATTCAGCTGTGACGCTTCAACACACACACACACACACACACACACACACATACACACACACACACACACATACACACACACACTGAGCAGCGTTTGCAGCCTTATTTAGAAGTGCTTCCTCACAGGCTTCGCTTTGACTCGACATCATTCGTTGGCTGCTTTCATTCATGTTCTGGTTTCTATAAACTCTGAACAAGACACTCGAAACATGAATGAAACCCGTTGAGTGTTTTTAATAAGATGAAACTAATGTTTGTTAAATCTCTCATTTAACAAACGGATCTGTGCAGAATTTCAACAAGACTTTTGTTTGTTGTTTGTCACTAATTGCATTTCACACTCGAATTTAACAGTAAAATAAAAATAAATATCTACGAAATTCTGATTAATTATCAGTAACATCGAGGAAAATTCACTGAAATACAAAAAAACAGTCATTTTACAAAACTAGAGAATTTTTTCTGCATTTAAATCAGGAATAAATGACATTATT